GAAGAGGAATATTGTATAAGGAAAACTGGTATATTAGCCATTGTGAAACAATGAACGGGTAATACGAACACAGATGGGTGTTGGAGGAGTAAGAGAAGAATCCGGGGAATGGGATAAAGGAAAAGGGGAAAGTGGTGAAGTATTAGGAAGAGTATCAGGAGGGGAAGGGTCCGGAGAGGAACACGCGACATAAGGGGGTCACTTGAGCATCCAGGTGGGAGTGGTAACGGTACAGGAAGAAAGAGGGAATGGTGGTGCACATGGAAAAGGGGCGGATGGGAGGGTTTTAGGGAGAGTGGGAGGAAGAGGGCTAGGGGGAACTTGAGGAGGAGGATGGATATCGGCAAATACTTTGAATGTCGAGGGAATAGGAAATGAAGGAGCGGTGCGTTCTCTCGAATCATGCTTAGGAAGTTTTGGATGTCCTCAAGAGTTTTTGGAGGGGATTTGGATGGGGAGGTCTGAGAAACAAAGGTGGGTGTAGGAGATGATTTGGCAGAAGATGGCATTGCCTGGTGCGACAGGTAAAGTGAAAAGAAGGGGTAGGCATCGAGAAGGTGGTAGAGATTAGTCTTTAGTTATTAGACTGGAAAAGGAATTTGGCGGAGAAGAGAGGTACCGGAAAGAGAGACTGGGGAACGAGACATTTTAAGATGGGAGGTGAGCGAAGGAAAGGACAGTTTTGGAATTAGTAGTAAAAGAAAAACCTTGTCGGCTTGTTTCTCGTCTGGTCTCACGTAGAGTGAGGCCTAGTTTGAGTCGATTCGAGCTTGTAGGCAGGACAGCTTCTATGAAATACAATATGGGAACCACCACAAGTGATACACGTGCGTGACACACAGGGTAGCGGACTTTGAAGTGAGTGTAGATAGTGAAGAAGACTGTGTAGTAGATGGAGTAGGGGAAGCTGGGAGAGAGGAAGGGGTCTATTCTGAAGGTTGACGCCAACCTTTCATTTCGTGAAAGGCTGACGTTTTTTTATTTCATTAGCGTCCGAACGAGTTACTAATCTGTTTGTATGGGTGTATACATGTATATATGTATATATATATATATATATATATATATATATATATATATATATAATATATATATATATATATTATACGGAATGGATAGAGTTGACAGCAAACACCGAGGAGGGGGTATTTGTATCAGTGGTCGGAGCCGTGGTCAAAGGAGAGGCAGGAGTCGGGAAACCAGATAAATTAAATTTAGATAGGCTAGTTGATGAAGAGGCATACATTAATGTCCCTAACAAGGGTAAAAAGAGCTTCATCACTGGTCATGGTGAGCCTGAAGTAAGTGGGGGAAAAGAAACGGTCTACCCCGCAGGGACCCCATGAGGAGTAAGGGCTCGACGATTAACCAGGGGAATGCCATGCCCATGACTCCCGCTCAGGACTGGTACACAAACTAACGTTTTATAACCTTTCGGCACGGCTCCTACACCTCGGGAAGTGAACTGAAGGGGATGAAGAAATGGAGAAAAAAGATCATGTAAAATTACTCAAGGCGAGGGCTTCGGTGCAAGCTAGGAGTGAACCCCTACATTGGGCCTCAGTCTCGTCTTCGTCTCCTAAGCTCCCCATGAGCAAAGGGTTAGGGGGTATTACTTACTAAAGTGACAATAAGAACAAATTTTAAAGTATGTTCATTAGGTTGATGTAAAAATGAATAATTTCTAATGGTACAATCATTTAATTACACACACACACACACACACACACACACACACACACACACACACACACACACACACACACACACACACACACACACACACACACACACACACACACACACACACACACACACACACACACACACACACACACACACAGCGAGCCTCCATCACCGATAAAATACTGGATCAGAACTGAAAGGATAATGGTTAATGGTTAAAAAGCAAAAATAACTGTGCTAAACATCTAAGGTCATATAGTACTATAGGAAAGTATACTAAAGGAGGGGTGAAGGGTGATAGCTGCTATGCCTCAACAATCTAGAGTGATCTTGGAAGGTTAAAGATGGCTAAAGAAGTTGCCATGTGAATGGGCTGTGGTGGGTTTAGGTGAGGGAATTACATGTGTTTCACGTGTGTATCCAGGAGGGAGTGGAAATGGTAGAGGGGATGGAGGGAGGGAGAATGTACGTATAGTTGGAGTTGAGGGGGTCGGGTTGTGTTGGGAGAGAGTAGGAGGAAGTGGTGTTAGGGAATATGAGTAGGAGGATGGGTGTCGGGAGGATGGATATCGGTAGTATCAGCAGGATGGATATCAGTAGTAGGCGGAATTGAGGGGGTTAGGTTAGGTTGAGAGGGAGTAGGAGGGAGTGGTGTAGGGGGAATAAACAGGAGGGGGATTGATATCGGCAGTCACTTCGAGTGTGGAGGGAGCATGAGTTGTGGAATTTTGTGTCTCAAGCATATAGCTTTGAATGTCTTCCATAGTTTCTGCAGTGGAGTTGGTTGGAGAGTTTTGTGAGCCAAAGGTTTTCTTATGAGGGGGAAGAGGAGACTGATATCTGAGGAATAAAGGTAAAGGTAGGTGGTGTGTGCTGTAGGGGGAGAAGGGGGGGGCGTTTAGTCTATGTGCTGCGGGGAGGGAGATGGGACAGTGTTGGGGCTGTAGTTGAGATTGGAGTGTCTGGGTTTAGAGTAGCAAAAGATTTGACTGAGGGAAGGTAGAATGTAGAAGTGGAAGTGGGGAAGTAAGTAGGTGTAGGGGAGGGTGTAGGAACATCTTGAGGTGGAGGGGGAGGGGCAGAGCGAGCGACATTACTAGAGTAGGGAGTATAAGAGAAACCTTGACGTGCTTCCTGTCTGGCTTCACGTAGAGTGAAATCATTTTTGTATCTGAGAGTTGCTACCTCAGACTCAAACTTGTAAGTGGGATAGGCTCAATAAAATACATTATGGGGGCCGCCGCAGTTAGCACATGTGCGTGTTTGTGCAGGGCAGTTTGATCGGTTATGGGCACAGGGGGCATCGGTCTGTGGAGCGGCAGTGTTTGGCAGGATGTCCAAATCGCCAACAGTTTAGACATTGACGGGGAGGAGGTTGATATGGTCGAACAGAGAGGATTGTCCACTAATGCATATACGGACGGGAAGGTCATGCGTACTGTAAGTAATTTTGGGTATTTTGGTGGGTTTCTTTCGATGACCTCTGGGAGGAATGGAGTAGCACTGTACTGGTATCACATCACGGTCTTTGAGGCAGGCGAGTAAGTCTTCTCCACAATCTAACCAATCTTTGGTACCGACTGGGCAGTTTTCTGGGGAGGTAGAGACAGTTCTGGTACAAGTATTAAGAGTTGGGTGAGATTCCACAGGAATGGGGTTGCCAGAGAGATGTTAGATTTGATAATGCTATAGTTTCAGTTTCACATGTGACTGTTACGAGACGGGAGCGATCGCGTCGGGTACGGAAAGGGATACTGCCCACGTTTTTGGAGGCATTGTTGAAAGAGAAGTGTGTTGCCTGAGTAAGGAGCTGTAGGGGAGACCACGAAAATCGGTCTCATTTAGCTTAATAGAGTATTTAAGACATTTGTAGGTTTGGTGGTGGTAGAAGGACGGGGACGTGTGGAAGAGGGAGTGTTGTAGAGGCGGGTAGTTTTACGAAGAGTTGGAGAATAAGGCTGTAAGGTAGTAATAAGGGAGGTTGGGGTGTTTGATGAAGAAAGTTATAAGGGTAGAGGTGATGAAGTTGAGGAAGTTGGGAGAGTAGGAATGTCTTCTGGAGATTGAGTCTCGGCTTGGGTGGGTAATGCATTAGTAGACATTGAGGAGTGGGTAGTAGTTTGTGTTCGGAGTCGTGGTCAAAGAAAAGCTTGGGGTCGGAGAGCCGGGAGAGTTTGAATTGGTGGGGCTATTTGATGAAGGGGCAACCCTCATTGACCCTAATAAGGGTATTACATCTTCATTACTGGCCAGGGGAAGCCTTGATTATGTAGGAGATAAACAGTCCACCCCGTAGTGTCCCTTAAGGGGTAAGGGCCAGACAACTAGATCAGGGTAATACTGTGCCCATGGTTCCCGCAGGCCGTTCAGGACTGGCACAAGGTCAGCCTTTCATCCTTTCAGCACACCTTAGGAAGTAGATAGGAGGAGGAGTTGGAGAAGGGACGGAAACAGAAAGCTGGAGGGAGAAAAGGCCATACAAAATTAGTTGAGTCGAGGGCTGAGGCTCTAGGCAGGGGAGATCCCTGTATTGGGTCTCAGTCTTCGTCTCCTAATCCCCCCCCCCCCACACACGACAACGAGCAAGGGATTGGGGGAGGGGGGAATTGAAAGGATAAATAAACATATTTGATTTTCATGGACATATATTCTCAAAAAGCACCTTATAAATATGCGGTCAGTCTAAGAAGCAAGGATAAATATACTTATGCTGAATATCAAAATAAACCAAATCTCTAAAATCAGACTCCATTAAATAAAAAATAAAAAAACGGTATCGAGTTCTTGACATCCAAACAAGTAAAAGAAAAGGCAAAAAAATCACTTGTGTGTAAAATAACACCATACAACCTAAGTCATTACCAACTTACAAAAATATTCATTTGCTTACACTAATACAACTGACCAATTTATAATCACTCTGAGAATTAATCTGATTATCATACCATTAACTTAATTTTGGAAGCAGTATTCTTGCATGTATATCGTATACATCATAAGGCATATTTACTGAAATGGTTCCTAAAAAAGATAAAATATTGAAAGCCGAACACATCAATGACATTTGCAAAAGCTGGATCACCTTTGTTGATACAACTATGTACCTGGATGTCTAGAATAAAAAAGAAATGGTTCCCCAATATTAAGAATCTGGAAGGATATTTCAGCCTTTCCTAATAAGGTTCGCATTATAATATCGATAGCTACTACAAAACACTGCAATCCCTTTGAGTTATGGTGTTTGGGAGTTCTCATGACTTCATCTTACAAAAAATAACCAAAATATAACTTTGCATGTGATTTTTTCCATAAGCATGTTGATAACTTCTTAATTTTTGTCATCATTAGTATATTCTTTTTGACATGTTAAATATTTTATATTACATAACAGCAAATGTACAACTGAAATGATCAATATTACAAGGGCTTTGGCAGTGTTGATGCTTTCATAATTATTAAACTAATAATTTCATTTGAAAATAATTTCAAATAATGGCTGTTTCAAATTAACCTTTCCCCATGAATAAAAAATAATTATTGCAAGGTTCATAATACATACAAGGCTGGTGTACTAAAATCAAGGTAAAAACTAGTTAATGAACATTTCCCCATCAAACGCATGGTAATGTTTAAGATCCTTCTTATATAATGAAAAATCTTGATCTTGTACTGACACCTAGGTAGGTTCACCCGAGAAAGAGCCTAAAGAGGTATTTAATTTGTATTGTAATGAACACATTTAAAATACTCCATCCCATAATAGCAGTATATGCTTAACCTTTTATATTTTAAACAATGTTAGGCAGTGAAATATCTGTACTTTGTGCTATGTAATAATATTTGAGCATTACTAATCTAAAGAAGGCAAACCAAGAGACTGATTAATTATACCATGAAGCAGTTAATTTTGAGTAAAAAATAAACCACAAAGTATACAAAAAATGAGACAAAAACAGCAAATATAAATACTATCACAATTTTTAAAACTTTCTTCAAATTCCTGAACTATGCTACTAATAATGCAAGACTATCAATGTTTTTAAAATTTAAAGATTCTTTCTTTTTAAATGTTATATACTTTCACATCTTCAAATTTACAGATTTGACTAAAAATCAATCCATAACCTGAGCTTTACATAAACAATTCACCTCAGAATAAACAAACAAGGTACACACCAACTTAGATGTCTATAAACATGCACAGTATGGTATGCATTTTGCTTGTGTGTCAGCACCTAAATTGAACAATATTACTAATAAAATGCACATTACTGTTAGTAAACATTTAAATAATTATTATTCCTCTGAAATATCAATATCAATTGATCGATGACAAAATAAAATAATAAACAGAATTCAAACACCCTTTGTTGTTGTTTATTCCTTCTCCTAAAATCCTAGCTATTAATTATATCAATGACAAAAATAAATGATCTGGGTTTGATCGAACCCACTGTTATTACTTTTTCAAAAAAATGACAAGGGAGACATCAGGAAAAATGCCAACTAGAACTCTCCTGTGGCAGATTTATATGATGATGGCAAGTCTTGAAAAGGCACAACTCATGAAAATACTCCAATACGTACCTTTAATGTGTATTTTTCAGATTAATTAAAATCACAAGTAACAAAGGTAGGAATCAAGATGGAACTCCTACCATAAACAGCGCCCAGCATGAGGTGTGACTAGGTAACAATTTAATGTATATGTTTGTAATGAAGATGAACAATTCAATAATTGCCTTTGTACTAGTAAAATGTTATGCAATTACCATGATTTTTTCCATAATGACAAATAAACCATTGAAGTTCTTAGATAATACAGCATTTCAATAACATTTTTACATAAAGACAATAATGTTCTAATGCTGAAAGTATGATGCAGTGATTCCCAACAAATCATATCCAAAATTTCATTTGTATGAGTCATCATAAAACAATTTTTCTGAATTATAGACTAAATAATTTCTCATTTATTCAGACTCATTCATTATGTACAAAAAAATACCCTTAACATCCATAACCAAAAAGCAGCTAAAAATGAAATGATACATCATAAAAAATATACAAATATCGAGATCCTCCAGTAGCTGTTGAAAGGCAAAAATCAGGAATAAAAATAAGCGTCGAAATTGGAATGAGTGATTCAAAAGTGAAGTACACCGCAAGAGAAAATCTATCCACAGATTGACAGTAACAGCTAAGAGTTGCCTTTCTTATTTTCCACTTTTTCTTGGAAGCCATAGCCATAATTATCTAATGGAATGAATGAATTACTCCATAACTGGTTTATCCTAGCTACAGGTTCCTCAACACCACGTCTAAGGCAGTATCATAAATCCATACCATGTCTATAACAAACTGTTACTTCTTCACATTAAATGACTAAATTATTGGTGCTACTAAAATGAGCTTAATCTACTGTTGCCTCTCCTCGAGACATTATCTAAAAATAAATCAAATATAGAATGGCATGTCAACTGTTCCAGTACTGTCATCACTACTGTAGGTTAAAAGGATATTCCTACAATAATAATAATTTACATAATGATAGATACGCCCTCTTTGTTTATTAAGATACTGTCTTTAAAATAAAGCTGTGGTTCCTTAACCATTCTTGTTCCCTACTTAAGGAATTGATCAATTTTTCCACACACAAAAATAAAATGTTAAACATGATTCTTCTGTTACCGTAATCTAAATGACTAGTGATTACTGTGATTTAAAACTATGAACTATAATACACACCTTTATTGGAAATATAACTAACCAATCTCAATATTCAACAATACACTGAATATATTTTTCTCTGCTAAACCTGCTATTGTCCTGGAATGGTAACCCACGTGTTTCCATTTTCACACAGTACTAACAAATAAGTTTAGAGAAACTTTCTTTTATTGGTCACAATGTCCTTTGATTGCTGATTTATAGTAATCCGAGATATCAAGATCTAATTGAATTAAAAATAAATAATTATATATAAAAAAAAAACTGTATAATGGCACTAAGTCTACTCTATAAACATCTATCTTTTATTTGGAAGAAGAATGCAAATGTGTGCAATTTTTCTTTAAATACACGTCACTCTCCATATCCTAATCCTGCACTTCCTACCCACCAATTTATCTAGAAGAACAAGACCAGTTTAAATTCAAATATAAGATTTTCCTTTCTTCAATAACTGTTATTTACAAATTGTCTCCTTATCTCAGATACATACAGCAGACAATGACAAGCACATGTGCACAACAAACTTGCAGATAGACAGTCATACCATAGGCATATAGCCAAACACACTCATATCATCATACAATTACAGCCATCTTGCTTCAACTTGCTTCCTCATTCTCTGATTCCCCACTGAGTCCTGTGTTTTCTCCTGTCACCCTGCATCGATGTAAGATAGCCTTTTCATATGCCTTCTTCACAGCTTTCCTTTCAGCCGGTTTACGTGATTCCACAAGTTTGGCTTTATCCAAAGTTGAGTCCACTCCTAGGGGCTCTAACTTGTTACGAGGCAGCCATTGCCTGTAGAATAAAATCATATTACAGAAGGTATTATTACATTTAAAAAAAATCTGTCCTGATATCGCAGCTTTTTGATACAGTTATAGTTAGATGGCTTCCATGGAATCTGAAATACTTACCAGGTGCGTTTATTATCAAAGAACAACACTAAGTACATTGGTGAGGGGTAATTATTAGCCAATGCTAAAACATCATCTGGAGGTACTGGAATTGGAACACCATTGTGGAAGTATCCTGTTTTAGGCATCTTGGGATTGATGATCTGGGGAAAAAAATCATAATGTGGATTTTCTAGCATAATGGAACAAAATTTTTTGTCTTGGCAGAAAAAGAAAATATCCCTTTATACATAAAACCATCCTACCGCATATATATCACCAGATATGCACCTATTTTTGGACTGCTTATGGTTTACAGGGAAAGTAAAGAAAGAAAAAGTAACATACTTACCAGAGCAGGATACCAAGGGTAACCCCGACACTTAGCCCACACAAGGTCAAGAGGTTCTAGAGGAATCTGGTCTCCAGTGTGACCTGACCCAGGTGAATCAACTGCCACACTTGAGTCAGACTCGCTACCAACACCTTCTGAATCCGAGTCTGAGGCAGTGTCATCCTCTGTGTCTGTCAGGCTGGAGTTAGATTCAGAGTGGGTATCCTCATCAGTCTCTGGGGGTATCTCTGTCAGAGGAAATCAGAGTATGCCATTTGATTACATAAAATCTTTCATTCAAAAACACTTTAATGATCAAGAGGATATAGAAGATTAATTACACAGCTATCTCACAACTAACAGGTATCAACTAACAAACAAGTTGATAAAACAAAACGAATGAACCCTAGGAAATACTTCTATACATTGTGAAGAAGAAGAAGTGTAACATATTTTTCTAGAAAATTAAAGTGCAAATAACTGAGAAAATAAGTTCTACTTGACCAGCATAAGTCATTTAGCCTCACTATGCTACACTACAATCACAAACAAATTATCTATGAATACTTATATCCAATTCTCCAGATATCTTTGCTCTTTAAGCTTTATTCCACTTACCTGAGTAACAATTTTTCTGCTACATAGTTATATTGATAATTATATCAAAAGATGTTAAAATTCCATAGGTCTCCTATCGTTTATCAATAATTTGAAATGCACAAGATTTCAGGATATGAGCAAGTCAAACATAAATCCATAATTAGTTCCCATATCTATAATCTGAACCCCAGACTCTTCTTTAACAACAAAAAAAAACAAAAAAACATACAGGCACAGGCAGACAAGCATGCACGCATACACCCATAGTTATATATATCAAGGGAGTAAAACAGAAGGTGGAAAACAAGTCTTCCATTACTGAGTAGGGAACTGGAAGAAATATTATGCCTCACAATATAGAAGGGACTATTTTCTTCTTCCCTGCTTGAAAAGGAGAGAAAAAGAAGAAGAAGAAAAAAAAAAAACTGTAGGAGCAGAGGTCTATAGATCTTTCATACTGAACCATATAAATTAATGGAAACATCAATAATTCCTCTAACTCCTCCACAATCATTTACTTTCCTCACCTATAAATGCTAATATACAAATAAAAATTAAGAAGCTTAACTATGTGCAATTTTCTAATTTAACTACTATCATGCATATGAAATGTATATATGAAAAGTCACTAAAAGAAGAATCTCTACTGAGTGATACATACTTCTGAGTTTAGATAATTTTCATGTTTGTCTTTTTAAGTAAATACAAACCTTAAGACCAACTTTTTATGACATGCAAAATACTTTTAGTAAACATGTTTAGAAATGATAAACAGGATTACTTAATTTCTTTGACATTTGCATACTATTCCACAGAGAGAAAAGAATCATGAACAAAGATCATGCATTTTTGTTTCTTCATCCTGCTTATAACCCTCTACTTCCAACTAAACCCTAGAAGCTGAAAAATAAGATAAAAAAAAAAACAGCCATTGCTTTACAGACCATTAACAGCAAGTGACATAACCAAGCCTAATATAATACCTAGAACTAAAAAGCTGACAAACCACCCCTACCGAATTGTGCAAAAAAAGAAAAAAAATAAAAATAAAAGAAAAGTAAATATACAACAGGAAGCAAACAAACCTCCTCCCTGTCGATACATCTTGAAGGAATCCTTGGATGGAGGTGTCCCACTGTCTGAGAGATCTAAGATTGAGATGTTTTCAGGGAAGGACAGGGAGGAGCCCGACTTTGTGTTCTGATGGCAAATAACACCGGAGTCAACACTTACTCCATTAGTCAACCCTGTGTTCTGATGGTAAACAAGGTTGTTGTTAATACTTACTCCATTAAATAAACAACAAGAGCTGAATAAAAATGAATAAACAATAATAAAAAATAGGCATTTTCATATCTTAAACTTCCATATCACTCTTGCATTTCTAGCATCTACCCTCCTATCTACCTAGACTACACTGCTTTTCTTTTCTCTGTAATATCAGATAGATTTCAAAATGTAGGCATATCTGAATTATCTGAATGCGTAAATTTCATTCACTTTCGTACACTTTGTATCACTGGATCCTACCAAAAGTTGAAATATAAAAGAAATAGAAAAAGACACTAAAGAATTTGTCACACTTCAGGTAATTTACTCAAATATAGTAAGAATGATTCTTCAGCTTATTTGCAATAAAATACAAGCCAAAACCTTCCATATAAGTAAAAAATGATGGTATAACTTTCAGTTGTCACTAAAGTATAGTGAAGACAAGTGGGTAATCTCTTAACCTATTTTTGTGAAAAGGTGAAAAATTACAGAATATTTATATCCACTAACCATTAGATGTCCCTTTTTCTTGTTTGCTGACTTGGGTGTCTTTTCTGGTGATTGAATGTCAACATCACTATTGGTGCCCTGTGTGCTCTCTGATGCTCGTCGCTGGCGTGATATGCGCTTTTGGGGAGATGAACTGTCTGGCTTCTGGAGCAAATAAAAACAATGAAATAAACATTCAAATATATAAATTACAAAATATTTGGCAACTCTCAAAGCTTGAGATAAACAAAAAGACCAAAGAAGTATAAATAATATAATATAATAAAAAGTAAACATCTTTTATTTACTTTCAGCTATCACACAGAACATGAACATAAAAGTGTATTTCTTGTGCAAACCTTAAACAGTGCCCCAGCTTTCTTCGTGAAGAGTACTGACGTACGACGATTCACACCAGATGGAGAGCTAGGTACCGAAGGGGGTTCTTCCTCTGGTCCATCTTCACTGCTTTCTTTGGTTGGCGTCACAGGCTCTGTTGAGTCACTCTCTACTTCTTGAAAAGCATACATAAACAATTCACAGTCATAATACAAACCACCTCCTTTATCTTCAATTCTTTGACATAATTTTTGGTCATACATTACTTCCACTGAATTTTCTTTTTATCATTTCCTACTTTACTTAAGGTATAAAATGTGAATTTTCCAATAATCAGTTTCATATAAAACCATACTGAGTTGAATGTTCTCACTTCAGCCAATCTTTTTTATCTATCATGGCAGAAAACATATCATATCAACTGTCAAAACATTCTCAGTAAAATATTGTCTTATCCTTATTTTCTATTTAGGAAATTTCCCACCTTACCCAAACCAATGATTCATAAAAATACTAACGCTTTTTGGCTGGGGGACTTGCAGATGGACCTGACAGAGTTCTGAGACGCTTAGGAGGGCGTCCAGGACCACGCTTCTTGGGAGTCTCCTGAGCAGAATCTAGAAATAAAAAATAAATAATAAGTAAAAAGCTGCATTTACAAGATCCAGTAGTAAAGAGAATTAGTTATCATTCCAACAGATGCCCCTAATTTCTCTTTCCTGCTTTTAATATTCATGTTGAACTCCAGACAAAGAAAATGAATGGAAGAGTTAGTTCTTCCAAAAAATATTTCTCTATCAATACCATCATCAATAAAATAATGCACATATCATTATACATTAAATTATGCTAGACACTAGCCTCATACCTTCTTTCTCTGGTTTTGTTGCTTTACTCTCATCTGCAAGTGTGGCTGCATGATCAGGATGATCTGATTCTCTCTGAGAGGTCTTATTGATTCGCTCAAAGAAGGAGTCAATGCGCTTCTGTTTGTTGTCATCCTTTTGGAGAAGTGATATATTAGCACAATACATCAAGTGCATGCACTTAAAAAATAACTTATACGCAAATTACATAAATGGCAAATCAAATTCAACATGCATATAAATACTTAACAGACCCAATGCCTTACCTTTGGCGTGCCTCTGAACCCTGTCTTGCGCTGACGACCTCGCTGCACAGGAGTGGTCATAGGTGACGACAGAGACAACTTTCTCCCGCTCAATGGTGTCTTAGGGGTGTGGGACAGGTGGACACTAACCATTTTTGATGAGAGTGGAGGTGGTGTGCTTGGTCTGCTTGGCTCACCAGGTTCGGCCTCATCATCAATGACTGAGCTATTATCTATATCTGGGAAATGTTAGTAAGCTTAATGATTACATAAGCAAATATTATCAAATATATATCAGTTTTTGGAAAATTCACCTCATCTTGTGAAAATACAAAAGAAACAAACAAGAAGTTTACCGGAATCATCCTTATCACTGTCGTCATCGCTGTCATAGTATGTTACACTAGCTTTGTAATGACTATTTCCTGAATGATTCATTGCCAGTTTCCTGCGCACTATCCCAATCTCTCGTCTGTAAAAAATAATAATAGTAATAACAACAATAATTATAATAATAATAATAATAATAATAATAATAATAAATATACATAGAAAAAAACAATAAATGATAATATAATAATAATCAAAATAAAAACAATAACAATATCAATATTAATAATAATATTGATGATGATGATAATAATAATTACAATAACAATAACAACAATAATAATAATAATAATAACAATAACAATAATAATATGAATAATAAGAATAATAACAAATAACAATAAATAAATAAATAAAAAATGATAAAAAAAAAAGAATAATAAACAACAAAAATAATATTAATTATATAATCAACAACAACAATAATAATAGTAAAACTAATAAAAAAATAATAAGAATAATAATTGCGGTAAGATTATGTTTACAAGTGGCAATCATTTGCACAAATGCAACTGAAAATTATCAGACTAATTGCTGTCAAGTCAAATTGCAGATCTACGTAAATCATATTTGTAACTTTCAAAAATTCTAGCCAATAAATTATCAGTCCTGTTAAACAAACAAATTTCAAAATACCTGATGAGTTTTACACGCTTAATACGTGCTACATGATGTCGAATCATGTTTGCTTTATCTAGGAGCTCAAGAAGTGCTTTCTCTCGATCTTCTAGACTTGCTGAATCATCACCATCAGCAACCAGGGCATCATCGACTGAAATGAGATTTATATACATACACATCTTACTTTACTCTAACTGTTTAATGCCATGTATTCTATATAGTTCACCTCATAAGAAAAATGATATATTTCATCACAAACTTTTCATAATCAACAATCAATCAATCAACATAATCATTCTTTTTTACCTTCCTTGATAATCTTATTATCTGAGTACTCTGGCAAAGGTTTGGGTCGGTGTGGTAGTAACAACCCAGTTTCCATATCAAATCCAATGTTCTCAACATTTCTTCGGAGTTGACGTATGATAGCACCACCCTAAATGAGAATGATACAATAAAATACTGTTAAACAAAAGCAATAGTCACTGCTTAAATTTATTTCTTCCTACATAGAAAAAGCAATTACACCCAAAAAATATACCACCTAAAATAAGTGAGTTTTCATGAAAAAATCTACACAGTAAAAACTTTGTATATACTCCACTTACCTGGTCTCGCAGCTTAACAGCTGTTCTATAGAAAATGGTTTCTTTTGCATTATAGGTGAGACAGTTGTCAATCATCAGCTCAAAGTCACTTGCAAATTGATCAATTGTGCGGTATTGATGCGTCTCAGCCTTCTGTCTCATGGTGGAAAGATCCATGGGATGTTTTACTACATCAAGATAATCAAGAACCTGAAAGATTTGCAATTATTATTAGACAGAAATTAATAAATAAAAATACTTTTCCAATCATATCACACCTGAACCTACCACATATACATACAACTCATGCACACATCTCCATATATACATTCATGTTTTCCAACTAAGTAGAAAACAAACCTCATCAAAGTCAACTGGTTCAGCAAATATCATTTGTTGATCTTTCTCTTGAATTATATCAATGGTCTGTAGTAGCAGATGCACTAGAGGAGCCAACTGCACCTGCTTCTCCTCAGCTTTTCTGTAGTTATCAGAATTCTATTTTGTTACATTCTATTTTTATGTAAGAATGGGAATGATATGATTTTTTTCTCTCACTTAAATGACGATACATTTTCAAGCCGAAAATAACATTTTCCGGGCAACAAAATCAGAGCGCAAGTTCTGATCTAGCATCAAACTGGCGGGACACCCGGTAATGTTTACTTTTCTTATAGACTAAATAGTTTTCGTTGATTACCGAAAAATCTTTATAAACATAATATTTACAATGATCTTCCCCATAACATTATCAAAATATATCAATGATTGTTTTTAAAAAACAGAGACAGTGTACTTACGCCTTGACTAGCTCTCTCTTGGTTTTTTCCCTCTTTCTAATTAGTTCACATAGCAGCCTTGCTTTTTCCAGATCCTGACGTAACCTCTGCCAATACTTGATTTCTTCTCTGCGCCTCTCTGCCTCCTATGTAAGAATATTTCAAATGTGTATTTGCTTGAGGAATAAATGCTCTCCTGATAAATAAAACAATGAATGAAACAAAACTGGTAACATTCCATGTGGATTATTCAATTACTAGAAATATGTGATAAGAAAATAAAGTAACAAACTTTCACTTACATTAGGAAAGCATGTCCTGCAGTATTAGCACAATACTCACCACTGGCATAATCCAAAAACAAAAAATAACTTACACTGAGAATTTTCTCCTTATCCTTGTACTCTGTGCTCTTCTCCTCAGGAGAGCGATTGCTACGTCGGGAATGCGAGGTCGTGAGCCGTCTCAGCAGCGGAACACCATTTCTCGACTGCCGCTTCAATGTCCAGAAGGCTAAGAGGCGGTGCATGAACTGTGACCTTTTGGGCATACTGACCAAGGATGCCAATTTCTGAATACTGAGGAAGAAGGACAAAGGTGAAATGACTGATCCTAATATTTGCAATTCTCAGACCTGAAATGTTTTGCTCTGTCACTGAACATATAAAATCAAGGGTACTCTAATTTGAAGTATGCAAATAATGAAAAGAAAATATAAAATATCATAAAAAATAACATAATCACTGTCAGACAAAAAAATAGATCTTCTCTTTTTCTAACACATTCACTTACATTTCTTAATAAACAACTTTAATTTCTACACAATTACTTTCAAAATTAAAATTGGTTTAGCATATGCTGAAAAAGTAAATCAAAGTGAAACGCATTAAGTGTCTCATGTGTGATACCAAACAGCCTATCTGGCACAAATATGGTCAATCGGTACACATAGCTAAAAGAGAAAGAATGGGAGATTAAAAGGAGCTCTGCATTAAGATAAGACAACTGAAATTCTAAGTGATCTTTTTATGTTCAAATCTTGAAACAGTGCTACAAAAAGACCACTCAAATTATAAGCTTACACTACTCTACATATAAACTACTTGTTCAAGGTAACTGAATAACAAGGGTCTGATACTTTGGATTATATACTTCCGTACAAATCATTACCTGAATGCACCAAGATAGGTCTTGGGATTATCATCCTTGACATCAGTCTACATTATAAATGCTGTACCTGTATGTCTTCACTGTCTTTAGTCAATATCACTACACAACTATCATTTCTCTTACTGTCAGAAACTAAATTCTTTTGCAAAAATAATGGGAACATCATAATCATATTTTCAACTTACTGTCATTCTACAAATCAGTGTCACTACAAGTGCCTTCTTAAACCAGCATTACCTATATACATATCAACTGGAAAAAAAGTTTTTTCCCATCTTTCCATCATAATCTCTATAGGACTGTAATCTGAGTAATCAATCTTTACTTGTAAAACAAATCAGAAAATACTTAAAAATCTATTTGCCTTATAATCAACCCCACAAAAAACGAATTATTATTTCATGCCCCCATGCTAGTCACACAATTACAATTTAGGTTTAGTGGACAATTCTAAAAGTCAGGCTCCTCCTTGAATTACACAATCAGCATGCAATACAGTCAGTTGTAAATCTATGGTCTTATTACCTAAAAGCATACAAATAATCTGGCTTGACACAGTTAGAAATAAAGACAAAAACCACATTCTGCTTCAATAGGACAAAGTATAATTATCAGCCACATTGTATACAGGTTTGCTTTTACATATACTCAGCAGGGATAAGAACAGCAATTCTATGGACAACTAAGCTGCATACATGGAGAACACAAGTTAATGAAAACTACAGCAATTACAAGCTTAAAAGGGACCACCACTGCAAAGATCACTTGAATGAAAAACCCATCTTACTTACTTCACCAATTCTATACATGCCTGACAGGTACTGTGATGCCATACCTGAACATTTCATTCAGACAAAACTGAACTTATGCAGATTACTTAAAACTCATTACTAAGAGTTACATCTCAACCTCTTGTTTAAAAACTAAAAGTGTGATTACTAAGGAGCATGGGTATCACAGTACTTGTCATAGTTTGCGAGTATGCAGGGTCACTCCCACTGGCAAGACAAGTTACCCTCCATGGTGGACAAGGTTACCACACACTTACTTTTCACTGGGTAGGATGGGCACAGAGTTGACAACACCACAATAGGTAGGGAGTATGGGACTATGAGACCCAACACAGGGCAGAAGGGGGTGCCGGGGAAACAAAATAAGCTGGTTAATGCAGGACATTTCTATCTCTTACCCAAAAAGGATACCAAATAAGAATAAATAAGGAAATGTAGCTTATAAAACATAAAAAAGGCTTAAGGGATTATTTACAATATGTGCAAAACAGAATGTATATAATGGTAACGAGAAAACCAGAGAACATAAAACCCGTGTAGCAAGCCGTACCTCATGCATGTGATTGGGTTAACACACATACATGCTTAGTGATCAGGCTGTGCAAGCATTGTCATCACTGCACCTATCTTTAGGCATTTATTGTTCATTCTTGGATTATTCAAGCAAAATATTATGCAATTTTTTCATCCTAAACCTGTGTTTATTTATGTTACTTTACTATTATAGTAATGGACCAAATACTTTTCCATTAACTTTAAATGGTTATAATCTCAACATTTAGGTGACAGACAACACAGGTAAGATGAAAGGGCAAGGAGATGAATGACAGACATTGAAAAAAATCTGAAGTTGCATTTCAACCTCCTGACTTATCAACAGCTGCAATCTAATTGGAATGAAAAAGCAAGCAATCCAACAAACCAAATGCCAAAGACCTGAATAACTATATACAGTGAATAGGTTAGAGGGGACATTTACATATGGATCCAGATAGGACATAGGAAATATGGGTACACTGCTCTTTTCCTTTTTATGCTCTCAATGGTTTGACTTAATCTTACTATAAAAAAAATACACTCATTTTCTTAATGCTTAATATTTAACAATATAATTAAAGATGAAATCATATAAACTGTTTGTATCATTCTGGCACAATCAGAAACAGTAATGCACCCGGCATAAGTTGAATTTACAGTTCAATCTGTAACACGGCCTACAGCATCTAAACTAACATAATGGAGTTCTCAAAACTCAAAGCATTAAAATGGATCATGACAAAATCTTAACAGTTGAAGCTGTTTGTACATAAAGCATATCTGACACATTTCAAATCATTTGTGAACTCCATTACACTAAATTAAAGCCATTGCAAGTATCACTCACCTCTTATGATCTGCAAATCTTACCATGAACCTTAAAAGTATTATCTTTTAACTAGAAGCCAATACATCAGCTTACCATAATATTTTATCTATCAGGTATAACAGTCAAGAAACATGATTATGATTATTTCAGTTATTTGCGGAGGATAAAGTTTTTTTTATATATATTAAAGAATAAGATGTTCTGAATTCACTATAAATTCAGTAACATAATCTGTCTCTCTCAGATTCAATATTAGTAACAGCTGACACATGGGATGAGCCTTATTTTTTTTACGTGAAAAAGTATAAACATGTAACTGACCCTGAATTCATAGTCTTCCTCCCAAGAAACAATTAATATTTAAAATACAGTTCAACTCATGATCAAAAAAGAAATTAAACCAAACTCCTGGCTTCAAACACATCAACTAAGAATTCACCAATTTCCCATATATATAAAAAAAACATCATAACAAAATGTTTAATGAAGTACTGGGCTTTAACATTCAAAAAGAAAAATACAATAATGACAAAATGAAAAAAAAAAGTTTCCTTTCTTACCGATCAGCTGGTATTGTGGGAACTGAAACAATTGGAGCAGCAGAACGTTTCTCAGCCAAAATTTTACGAGCTTTCTTCATTTTCTGTCGGGATGCCGCTTTTGCCGCTGCTTTCTTGGCCGAGTCCATAATCTCATCGAGCTTGAAAAGTTGGCCCTTACCACAAATGTTCATAAAAGCAGAGGAGGCAGCACGACCGTCACCCAGGTATGCCAGACTGCTCCTCTTTTAATTATATCTAGAAATTTGTGCCAGACTGTACATGCTAGTCCTCTTTCTGTTCTTAATACTATATCTAAAGAAATTTGGAAAAAAGGTATTGTACCATTATCTCATCATAAACAAACTTTCCAATTTTTAACCAAAAATTTTGTCAGATTTATTAATAAATTTTGGTATAAAGATGAATATGAATGGCCATGGCTACACTCCTTCCCTGAATCCAACTACTGACTCCAGTTTCAATTCTACCAATTCCTAACTTACATATTCAGTTTGGCACTTTCAATATCAGTATACATAGTTATGCTTGATCAGCAAACAAGCACTGATTGCATAATTCTGCTCACTAAGGTGCAAATAAAGGGATTAGTTGCAGAACAAAAACATATATGCATTCAAGAGTGTATCTGCCACAAACCAGCATTTGAATATATTAATATCTCTAAAACCTTCTATTTCAACACACAATATTTTTAGTACTAGAATAAGGCATGTTTACACAAAAATTGAGCTGTGAACTTTTTCAAACTTATTTTTGAGTGAATTCTTCATAGTTTTACTAAGACTAATAAATTTGTGGATCAATATTCCATTCAAAAGATGTATCAACATTTCATATGATCATATAAACAAAAAAGATAGAAGTAACAGTTTTCAATCTCAATATTTCAAACTACCTAAGTATAACATAACAAAGGAACTTCAAGCTAATTCAAATAAATCTTACCATGTTACAAAAGAAATTGACCTTTCATTACTTTCTTGGTCTTCATATTATGGATGTTGTTCTTGTTCTACTTTCAAAACAACTATCCAGTGAATATGAACTGATCCTAGAGTTGTTTTTTGTTTTTCTTCTTCATTTGATGATGTTGATGCTCCATCAAAATATTAATAATTGCCCTAACACATACGGAACCAGATTAATAAAGTATATTCTATGCGACTTTAGTGAGTATTTCCTTGCTTGCCATGGGATTTCTAACCACCTACTTATATCAGCAAAAGTCCAGACCTGCCAGATTCATCATGTTTGAGCTCAGAAACAGAGTAGATGTTTGATACATTTCACTGAAATATGTTTAGTGCTTAGTGAAGCAATTTTTAGCATATGAAAGTAAAGCAGGCAAGATTATAGGGGGATGCAAGTTTCACAAGACATCAAACAAGTAAAATCTGACCATAGTAGGCATCCCACACTTATAACAATAGAGATGGAAGACTCTCATGACCTGTTAATCAGCAAACAATATTGATGGTATGAGAAATTATATGATGTCGCATTGCCTTACAGCTACTGTATTTTGTTGCTTTTAGAAATTAGGAATATATTTATCCATAAAAGCTAATTAATAAAAAATAAAGTTAAAATAGGGTAAACTCTCAGAGTTTCATGGCAGTATAAACAAACTCACACACACAATGGTGTCTACTGTAATCTTTGGCAAGCATATCCTAAGATTTTCTCAGCTATAAGAACAAAAGTTTTACAAGGACACAAGTCCACATAGCATTGCCAGTATAGAGTTTTCCTTCCAATGTATCATTACAATCTCATGTATCATTTACCAGAACTTTGAGTATCACATCATAATTGAGTCTTTAATTCTGCTTTATCGTTTATCTTATGGTCTGTTTCTATCTTCAGTCTTCTATCTTCTGACGACATGTCAACCACTTTCTAGCATAATTCTTATTACGTTTCACATAAAAATGATAAATCTATAGGGGGACTTTTCCGTCTTTCAACTAATCAAAATATACATAAACTTTACTTGCTTCTCTTCTTGTGGTCTTACACTTGCTTATATAATGCTGATTGTCAGAAAGGAGTCAGAAGTCACATTTTAGTTCTCCTTCTGCACTGCACCTTTATTATGAATATCTACTGAATTCCAGAAAAAAATTAACTTCCTTCTAGCTTCCAGGTTCAAGCTTGTTAGCAGGAAAGTGCTGAGAGAGCAGAATATTAGGAAGCACAAAGGGTGGTGCAAGAGCTTGAGCAAAGCAAAAACAAAATGGTGAAGTAAGCAACACATCTATATCAACTATTTTCCTTGCTCTCTCTTTTACTTCTTCATCTCTTGCTAATATTGATATGGCATGACTAGCAGGAGTCCTATTATATAAAGAAAAGTTAATTTGTTTTTCCACAAACTTCAGGCAAGTCTTTGTTTTTGAATAAATATAGTTGATCATTTCTATTTATATAATTATGAAATAACAATCAATAGTCAAATTTGCCATGTATGTTAAGTAGACAATCAAAATAAACATAACATACCGCATCTGAGTCAGCTGGGGTGTGCATATCACAGTAAGCTGCTTTACGCACAGTAACTGAAGTGCCATTCACACTTGTCTCTCTCACTGCATCAATCTTCATATGCAGTCCTGCTTGTTGAGCACAGGTCACATGGAAAGCTGTGAAAAGTATCAAATATTAATAACAAAAAAATGCATTCTGTGATGACAGTATCTGATGAAGTCAATTGCCTTCATGTGCCTAATGATAAAACAAAAATAATGAAAGAAAATATAAAAGCAAAAAGCATAAATAACAGTACAAAATTGATAAACATGGGGATAAGAGATTGAGAGACAAACAAGGTGGTTTGGAGAAAGAATCAGAGAATTATATGAAAGATGAAAAAAGTAGTAGGTCCCAATTCATATGCAAATATTTCAAGAGAATGCAACAAAATATCCAAAAAAAATATACCTGTATAGCAGTTTACTTTATTACACTGGATACAAGCACCCACTCCTCTCTGCTTGCATATATAGCATGTGAGTTTCCAGCGAGCAGGAGGTATATTACCAATACTGTCTATTGGCTCAAGGAAAACCTGCAACACACATACTGGGATTAATCTTTGCCGTCAGTATAGAAAAGGAAGCTTTGTAATACATATAACCTTAATAATACCTATATATAAAAATCAGAAACTCTCATACTTACAGTATTGGCAAAACAAACTTCAGGAATCCACATGGCACAAACAACATGAGCCCAGCGAGCATCATCTGTCTGCTTAAATGCTCCACCCTTGTTAGGACAAAGGGCACAGTCCACAGCCCTTGATGGAGATTGTAAGCACCGCCTGCACAGCCATTGTCCCTCTGGGATGTAAGGAACTCCATAGCACTCCTGAGAAATCAACAAGACATTTAAAAGACCTAAATATTAACAACTCTTTTACCAACGTTTCACATTATTCCTCTCTGGTATTTGATTTCAAATCTAGTTCCTTAATAAAAAATACTAACCTGATGCACAGCTAAGTTGCACATATCACAGAATAGGATAACATTACTGTTCTGACACTCTCCATCCATACAAATACAGCATACAGCATCCTCATCTATTGGCACACCAGAATCTCTGCCAGTTGACTGAGCCTAGAATAATATAATATAACATATAAGAAAACATGTAACTAAGCATTGGTTTAGAATAGATATAAATTTCAAGAAAAAAATATACATATACAAATAACTACAAACTCATTTCCATATCACCAATATCATTACTGTTACATAATTCTATATACCATGCACTGCTGATGAAATATAAGGAACTTTAAAGCACATCTAAAAGATAATTCAAATACGATATCATATTATTATTTTACACATCACATTCCCTATATTTTCTCCATGTAAGACCAATGTCACTAAATCCCTTGGCTCTACCTGGAAGAAAGATTCCTTTTCTAAACGATCCATAAGTAATTCAAAGGTTTCCATTTCCACTGGTGGCAGTTCATCAACAGCTCGCTTCTCATTCATTTTCTGCAACCATGCTCTGTCTTCCTCATCCATGTCATACTCCACTTCTTCATCTAATTCTTCAAGACTTTTCTCTATAAATCTGAAAATTACAAAGTTACCCAAATTTCTGTAGTTACTTCCAATTGGTACTAAGATAAGTTCAGAAGTTTTAACTAAAATATAAAATCTTGAAATTGTATTAAACTGTTTGTTTTTTATCAATATCAGTCTAACAGTATATAAACACACAAACCTAAACATTTGGTACTACACATATTGGGCATACATACCTATGATAGTTGGATGGTTGTGGAGGAGCATCAGGAAGATTTTTGTAATAATCCTCTATGACTGAAAATGATGCTTCTGGGAGTTTATTGCTCTTCTTCTCTTCTATTGTGTACCGTTGAACATCTACACCTCGATCTTTATCACCTGTACGAGCCTGTGTTAAACAAAGTGTTAAAATATATAAAACAAGAGGAGATGGTTTCCCTAAGTTTCCTTTAAAATAGTTTGCATATATTCAGTTATACAGATCATCTTTACAATTCTCACTTTTGGTGGTTTCTGGAGAGGAGTTTTCTGCACTGGAGTTTTTGATAGAGACGATTTAGATGTTGGTGTCTTGGGCAAGGGCTTGATAGTCGGTGTGCGTGCTTGCTCCTGAGGTGGGGGCTCCTCTACGACTGGAGGCATTGAGGCTTCATAATCCTCCTGATCACAAAATGGAAAATCGTGCTTAACACACATGATTTTCTAAAATTAGAGAGGTTATACAAAACACAAAATGCAAATAAATATCACATCTGTAACACATAATTCTTAAAACTTTATAATACCACTGTGAATATCAGTAAAATTTTATTCATCATGAAACAAAGTACAAGTATGTATCAGCAACAAGTCTTTATTATCAATTGTAAAGACCTAGATTCTATTCCCACCTTTGATAAAATTTCTATTGGGTCATAGACAGATAATCGAGTCAATTTTCCATCAACCTCAAACTCAACAGTTTTCATGTCATGTGAGTATGGTATTGAAGGTGGCTCTGGATCCTGGCTTGCTACAGGGGATGGGGGTCGCTTCATGTTTTTCTTCCGGGCTGAAAGGTGAACATAATAAAAAGTACAGTTAGATATCCAATCTATGTTTTCACCCTTATCTTTCAATATTATCCACAGGACCTTCTAAGGCTTTCCTCACCTGATTTTGGAGTGACCACATTTGGAGGGGGATTCTCATGGTCATATGTGTTCATGTGGTGCTGAATACCTGCTAGACTGCGGTAAATTTTGCCACATGATGCATGCGGGCATTCATATGGAGGTTTTGTCATACGACAATGGTCCAGGAACTGGTCCATATCATAGCCAAGGCCCAGCCGAGGCATGATGTAGCATATATCTGTAAATAAAATTAATGATCAATATATAATCCTCCCTACTTAATAGACAATTCCATTTTTTTATACATTAGTAAATATTATTTGTATCTTATTCCAATATTCCTTTAAATAATGTAACGCATGATTCTACAACTGAGTATTCCTGGTATAATTGATTTTTTCTCATAAAAAATATAAATAACCAGGCATGCTGTCTAAGAAACACTAAATTAAAGGATTATAAAAAACAGATTTACAGCCAGGCCAAAAATACACCTCACAGATGCTGCAATACACTCAGCAACATCAAACATTACCAATTCAGCAGATTCAACTTGACACTAATCAGCCAATCTTCTCAAGTCCTCACAATAAGTAGATCTATGATGTGCTCCTCCTTTGACATTTGCAATAGGATTGGATTTATCAGAGATGATTCCATTCTAACCTTCCTTCAGGTGATTTAGGCATTTCATAACTCCCCCCTGCCTCACTAATGCAGCATCCTGCACAAAATAATAAAGTCTTTCCTTTCTTCCCTGATAGCAAGAGTTTTTGTGGTGCACACTAACCCCAATACAGCACTTTTGTTTTGCCAGTCACATACGCCCAATTCATATCATTCTTATTCAAAATCTACTTATAAATGTACACTGACGACCCTACTACTTACAGGTCACTGAATAAGCAACAACTGATCACCATAAAGGCACGAAATGCCGAGAGATGTCAAAAACAGACCCCGGAGCAGAGCCTCAAAAAGCTTTGCCACCCACAAAGCACACAAGCAACTGCGATCTCTCCCAGCAAACAGCAAGCACCTCCAACCTTTGCTCTGGCCTACTTACCTCAGAGAAACCTTCGTGATGAGAAATGAACGAAAATTCCTCCCCCAGAAGCCCGTGCCTTCGCTCCCTCCCAGACCTCCTCTATATCACCTTCGCCATTTTCTCTCCACCAGGATGTTCCAAATCCGGATAGAACACGAAAACTAAGCTCAGTTTCCTGGATAACTGTGACCGTGCCTATGAGCCAAAAAAATAAAAAGACAAAAAAAATAAAAACAGGTTTTGTTAATGGAGGCTGACGAGAGCTTGGCTTCCCTCTGTCCACACCTCTAATTTTTCACCTAAAATCCTCCCTAATTCGCCAGTACACCTATATTCCTCATCCTCTATCCTTAATTCACAACACCAACACAAAAATACTCACCTAAGGACTTCAAAAAAGGAAAATAACCGGGTTTTAAAACGACAAGATCGATCCTAGGAGAGCCGCTTGGCCGCCATTGTTCACCAAAACAACTTTTCTCAGACAAGATCAGCCAATCAGAGGCGGCGTCACGGAGCGGGAGAGTGTGCGTGCGTCATCCAAAAATTTGGATGATTGATCGAATATTTTCATGTTACTATGGCTAGTTTGTTAGGGTAAGTATTAAAATACTTAACGGAGTCTTGTTTGTATATATCATCTTAGATAGGAAAAGCTTTTCGTCTTCTGATGATAAATAGACGATTAGATAGTACATATAGATCAGTTGAAGGAACACAATATCATAAGTATTGAATCAATTAAATAAATAATGAATAATTTTAGAAATATCGTAGTGAATTATATATCAAGCTCAGGGTTCACGTATAAGATAAGAGTAGCTATGTTTCAACCAGGAGAGTGATAAACTGATGATTATGATGAGAGAATATGATAAGATATGGTGGTAAACGATACATGTTATCATGATAAATACATTCTATGTGTCATTATTGTTATTATCACATTATCAAGCTTTTAGGGAATCAATAGCGTATATATAGATCTCTACCATATCCATTGTTGTTACCTTAAGTGTTTGTGGGTGCTGTTGTTGTTTGCTGTATTCGTAAATAATAATATTATGTTTATTATATTACAGGGAAGACTGCGTTTTTCATAACATATTAAACGACATAAATTTTATAGTATTGGTTCACGAATGCATTGTATTAGATTATGCAGTAGAGTTAATTGAACAAATAATCAATTGTTGTTGCAAACTCTTTAATCATTTGTTTTATTATTATCTTCGATTTTCTGTTTCGATAAAGTGAGACGTATAACATTTAATTACTGGTTTAAGCTGCTAGTGTTAAAATATTAGATATGAACAACAAAAGTGATATTAAGCTGTAGATCTAATATAAATCTAAGTCGAGATAAGGTATTCATATATACAGGGCTTGAACTTTATAAGATAAAATACGTTCATAGAGGAAAAGAGTGCTTTTTGTGTCTGTTCATAAGATAAATCTTGGGTTTTATATCACAGAATGATATAGCTTTGCTTTGGATGTGGACTGCATAGAGGCAGAGATGTCCTCGAAATGTGACTTCTATGCTCTTCTCTGGGTTTACTCACGATCTCTTCATGTATGACTCACTTACTGGTCATAATAGCATTCGGTACATTATAATTAGATTCACGTCTATTGATCTCAGACATGCTCTCTCTCTTCCTGTCTATTCCTATGCTTCTCAGATATCTCATTTATCTTTCTTCTTCTATCATGATATTATTGCTACCTCTCTTCCTCCTTTACTTCTGTGCGTGCTCTTATCTACGGTCATCTTATAATCATTCATATACAGTCAATAATCTTGACTTCATTATCTTCTTTATCTGTTCATCGTGTGTCTATCTGGATCTTCATTTTGGTCATATCTTAACTAAATCATCATCTGTCATACTTATCTCTCCGTCATACCTCTATCTTACTTCTCATATATAATTATCTTATAATTTACTTCTCTGATAGTATATAGAATTTAGAAATAATTCATAAGTATCATAAGAAAATAATTTATTCTGATTATATATGACATTCAGTTAGGTAGTAATATTAACATCTCGTGCTACAGACTGTTAAGATCATAGGTCTACATCATCTCTGGCTCTCTTACTCTCGCATTGCTACATCTCTGCGGTCTCTCAGTCGTCTCTCATTCTTGATGGATGGTTCAATGAATTGAAACGTCTCGGAACAGAAAGCATCCCGGGTCAACTGTCTAAAACATAAATGGGTTTTCCGGGTAGCAAAACCAGATGAAGTAGAATAATGCCATGTGCTTTTATCTACTACATCTCTCTTCTATTCTATCTCTCTCTTCGTCTCTCCATCTCTCTCTCGCCCCCCTCGTGTGTTCTGTAAACTACAACACCCACAATACACCAACCTACATAAACAAATAATATATATATTATATAGTCTTACTTATTATTGTATATATAATATATATAGTTATACTGTACATAGTTATATAATATATAACTATACTATTCATGGATATAATATACACCATCGTCTCACCACACACACAACACACCCACACCACACTACACACACAATACACGACA